TTCTTGTATAAATTGTTCTAGTTCTGTTCCCTTCTATATCAGTTCTTGGCAATAAATGGGCTGATCTAAAGGGGTCTACAAATTATCTCATTTATTTTCATGGGAAATGAAAGGAGAAAACCTTCACTTGGTGTTGCTACTCCCCTAAGCTATGGTTCTGTCACTCTGTTACCTGCATTGATAAACCCCTAGGAAGAATAGTTTATACCCCCTACTTCTACATCCTATAATACAGCTTCCAACTCCATCATACTATTGAAACTGTTCTCCCAGAGGTTACCAACTAACTTGCCAACTGTATTGCTAAATCCGAGGATCTTTTCTCCTTCATCATCCTCCTGAACTTTCTGTAGTTTTTGTTCCAGCTGGCTACCCCCTCCTCTATCCTAATCTCTCCTCTTTTGGCTCTCATGTCATAGTCCTATGAAGGTTTTCTTCCTACCTCTGTAATAATTCATTTCTAGCCTCTAGTTAGCTGAACTGGAGCTGCCATTGTCTCAGTGGCCTCTCATCTATTTATCCTTGCAGTTTGGTATTCACTTTGGTTGTAACCATTCAATGCTCTGACTATATGGAAGCTGATTCTGAATGCAATAGTTTCATTTCCAATGATGTTGCATGGTGCTCATCACATCCAGTGTGTGTACCACAACTAATATGTCACCTGGGAAAGTGCCCTTCACATAATATACAAGGGCTCCATAAATATCTATTGGATGAGTGGGGTTTGAATATACTCTCCCTTTGAGCTTATTAAAACAACATATTTGTGGAGTAAATGAATTTATATTCTGCCTGTGAACACCCATCTGAAGGGATCTTTTGGGAACTAAGCAATCTTTTCTGTCTCTCTCAAAAGAGCATGGAAGCTCCAGCATTAGTAATTATCCCATCCCACTGTGTAGTGTAGGAGTTCAGAATCATGGAAGGACCACCTTCCTTCTGGCACTGGAATTCATTTAGCTATGCCATTTGTTTTATTTGCAGAACAAGTACTTTAGTCCTGATCTTTTTACTTTTTTTGTTTTTTAAGCATATGTTCTGAATGACCTCCACAGCTTGGAGCTTCCAGGACCTTGAGAGAAAGCATGTCCCCTGGGTTAGCCATAAACAGAACCATTGTGCAAAACCTCACCTGTCGGTTGTTCATTTTGCACTTTGGGGCGCCATCAGGTGGCTGCATTGTGAACTGAAGCCTCCACATAAGAGGCTCAGGCTTTGCTGAGTGCCCTGTTGAGAAATTGGAGGAGCAGCCCCCAAATGGAAATGACCCCAGGGTGCGTTAGGTCTTCTCTCTTTGAGCACACTAGACAGGGCTGGGAGATAGGCTCTTCAGGTTGGAGGAGGTAACATGTCCTTGTTGTAGCAGCCACAGTCAGTTCCCAAACCCAGATTCCTCTACTTTGGGTAGAAAGGCAGGGGAAAAGATGATGGTAAGTTTGGTTTCACTGAGTATAAATGGGAACACTGGAAGGAGGTCCTTTGACCAGGATCTGATTTGTCCTTTTTCATTTGGAGAGAAGGAGAATGTAGTCTGGAAAAGCAGAAGATCTCATCAGAAAGTTAGGGAATTCGGCCCGGTTATCTCCAAGGTTCTTTCCAGTCCTAAAATTCTGTGATTCCATGAATTTTAATGACAGGCAAGATTATGAATAGTAATACGACTAAAGCTAACTTGATCAAAAGTTTACCTGGAAGTTGGATGATTTCTTTCTTTTTTTCTTTCCTTTTTTTTAAAGTTTCATTGCTTTTTTGTTTTCCCATCATCTCCTGTCCCCTATTCATCAAGACTTCCTTACAACAAAGACAGCATATGCACTCATCATCCATCACTTTCTTTCCAATCCCTTCCTCCCACCTCGCCCTCCAAAAAACCCCACATATACACAGAAGCAGGAAGATGCATTTTCTCATCTCTTCTCCAAGGCCAAGCTTGGTCATTATAATTCCATAATGTTCAGGGTTTTTGTTGTTCCTTCCATTAACATTGTCATAGTCATATAGATTGTTCTGTCATGGTTTGGCTTACATCAGCCTGCCTTGGTTCTTGTAAGTCTAACTATGTTTCACTGAATGCTGGCTCTATTCATCATTTCTTATGATATAATACTAATCCATTACATTCACATAGGTAGTTTCCTTTCTATCCAGGTGTCTCAGCTTGAGGACTGAAAACTAATTTCAAGATTCCCTTTACTGGATTTCATTTTAAATGCAGACTTACAGATCAGTGACCATTTACCGAGGGGGAGTAGTATTTTTTCCCAAGTAAGTAGAAAAGAGTGCTGATTTGATTAATTGGGTCACCATCCTCGCTAGACACTTATTAAGAACTGCTGGGCTGTAGGGCTCTTTACTAACCACTGAGAAACAAAGCAGGACAAAAAGTGCCCCCTCTCAGGGGCTCTTACAGTGTAGTTGGGGAAGCAACAAAAAAAACACTAGAATGAAGCAAGTTGTTTAATGAGCTTGAGGCTGGTTTTCCCTCCCTGACTAACAGAGTCACTCAAAGGTAGTTTTTGTACCTGTAATGATTTCTCTCTACCTCATTTGTAAAATGAGGATAAATGTGGAATGGGTTTTCTAAGCTATTCCTGGAAGATATTGTGATGAATCATTAACATCAAATGTCCTGTTACTATTTATTTCATGACTTACCCACACACCATGTAAAATTGTGTTCCATGACATTTGCCATCACAGTCCAAGAGTTCAAGAATTTATCTTAATAAATTCACCAGTTTTTGGGCTAAAAGCGCACTGGAAGTTGTAGAAGTAAAAAAAGACTTGCTGGGTGTTCAAGCATTAGATTTCATACTTTGGCCATGGAGAGAAGGTCCAGGTTTGTCTGTTGTCTTGCCTATAACTGTACATATGATTTAGGGATAAATTAGGGACTAGAACTGTAATTTCATTGCTATGTGGAGCTTTTGGTGAGGAGTAGCTTCTACCAGTGGAGATGGATATTGTCTCTGAAACTTACAGACCTAGAGAGTTGCTTAGAGGCTTGAGAAGTTAAACACTTGCCCAAGGCCACACAGTTATTAAAGGTGGGACTTCAGCCTGGGTCTCCCTGTCTCCATGACCAGTTTCATCACACTCTCATGATTTGTTAGCAATTTCTCAATTTGATGTGTGTATGTGTGTGTTTACATATACATACATATCTCTCTCTCTCACACACACACACGCGCACACACACACACACACACACACACACACACACACACACAACACACACAGAGAAAGATTATTTTATCTTTCTGTGGTTGGACTTAATGTTGTCTTAGGTGCTTTCCAGCCCTAAATCTGATTAGATACATAAATATGTATATACATACACAATGTAATCAGTGATTATCAAAAGCAGAGCGGGCTTCAAGAAAGAGAAATGACTTTCATTGACCCTGGAAGAGAGGTGGTACATGCAAAGACAAAGGACAAAGACGACTTCCAGATCTATTGGGGTAAGGGAAGGAAGAGGGGAAAGGAATCTTGGAGCAAAGCCACGGAAGCAGGAATGTGCCTCATGTGATTAGGGAATGATGAGTAGACCATTTTGGTTGGAGCAGAGTGTGTGCAGGGAGTAGGAAATAAAGTTGAAGAAAGAAATGGTCCTGATTAAACAGAGAGGGCCTTGAATGCTAATTTCATTTAACTGCATCTCCTGTGGAGAAGAGCAAGCCAGTATTTAAAATGTTCTCAAGTGTGGATATTTTTAAATTATGTAGTTGATGCTCTTTTTTTACATTAATGTCCTTCAATGACTCTTCCCACCACCCATCCTTTCCCATAGAAATCTTCCTTGTAATAAATATGTACAGTATTGTCCACGTCTGAAAATTTATGCTTCATTCCACCCTTATGGTCCATTACATCTCATGCTTTATCATCAGTTCTCTGAAGTCATGACTGAAGACTGCATTGATTAAAGATCTAATGTCTTTCATTGTTTTTTCCCTTTTCATTATTGTCTTCATCATGCCAGTAATTATTCTGATTCTGCTTGCTTTTTTCTGTGTCAGTTCCCACAAGTCTTCCCAAGTTTCTCCAAATTGTTGATATTATAATATTCCATTTCATTCATAAGCCACATTTTGTTTAGCTTTTCCCTAATAAATAAATAATAATAAAGGCACCCACTTTCCTTTCAGTTATTTGTTATTACAAAAAAAAGTGCGACAATAAATATTCTTGTAATATGGAAATTTCTCTTCTCCAGTCTGCATGGGTATGTACCTAGTTAGCATCACAGGGTCAAGTTTAGTTTACTGACTTTTTTGTGTGTGTATAATGTGGATATAGTCTTATACTTATTTCTAAGATAGGTTTAATAATACTTTTCTTCTTCATAGAAAGGTGATAAAGCTGCTTGATCATGGCAGGCCAGTTGGCTCTCTCTGCTTCTTAGTTTCCTCATTTGTACAATGAGGGTTAGGATTAGAGGATCTCTGTGGTCCAATCTTAAAATTCTGAATTTTTTTGAAATTGAAATTAACTATTCTACAAAAAAATTGAAAGAGGAATTGCTTTGATTCCAAATCAGCTACTGATATTTCTTGTTTCAGAGTGAGCAGCTAATTCAGAGTTGGTGTTAATAGTCAGTACCAAAAAACCTACTAAGTGGCCTTCTGTGATCTGTCAAGGGAAATTTCATAGGGACCTCCAGTGTGAAGTTTCCGAATACAACCTTGCCCCTTCTCCTTCAAGTCAGTAGCTGCAAGTGCAGTTTCTAACAGCTCACACTGTGAGTCAGGTTAAGCTTTTTGAACTTATATCAGCTCTTTAAAATCAGCAAAGTATCTTTTGGTAAATGTACCCAGTCCAGTAAATCCTAATGACCTTAAATTAGTGCCCCTAACAAAACTGTCACATTGTCAGGGAGTAGCTTAGAGTGTCTGATTCAATAGCAACAAAATATTATTGCCTGTTCACTAATTAATTGACTTGTATTCTTGCTGGATGTATCATTAATGGTTGTAATTTCTTTTGCATTGCAGTGTTCTAATTTTGGGAGCTTCAGGTGGAATTGGTACCTTTGCTACACAGGTAAAGCGTTATATTTACCTTGCAATTTATTTAAATATGTAAATCTGCATTTTATAGACATCCTATAGAGCCCAGAGAAGAAGGAGAATATAACACATTACCCGTTCTTCTCAATGTGATTCTTCAAGGAGAAAAACTTACTAATGTAGAATGTCTTAACATTTCCAGGTGCTTTTCTTCATTCAGATAACAAAAGGGGGAAAAATAGGAAGGGAAAGGACCTGGAAAGGAGGAGAAGATATGAAATTTAGCTATTGGTAGAAAAACTCCCAGTATTGAAATTGTTTGTTTAAACCTTTTGGCCAGTTTGTTCTTTATTAAGGTATACACAATGAAAGTGCTAGGTAGCTAGGGGAGAAAAACTATTAAGTTCTTAAGGGAAAAAAGGGTGGAAAATTTATTGAATTGTTTCACCATGTGGTATAAATTATTCCTAATGATTTAATGCTCATGCTGCCTCGAGCTCCTTTCACACTCTCCTTTCCTCTTCTCAGATAGCTCTCTATATATGTGTGTATGTGCAAACACACACACACACACACACACACCTAAAATTAATGTAAGTAGGTGCTTAGAAAGCAATTTCCTTTTTTCTTGATGGTTTCAGGTTTATTTTAATATTAGGAAAGTGATGGTCACTAATGAGCTATTCTTCCTGGAACACATTACTAACACATTTGCATCTAATTGGGGACTGCCATTATACTCAATCAGCTTTTGACTTCAGTCCTTGAACAAAATACATTTTAGATGATTTTATCCCTGAATTTTTTTTTTCAGATTGCCAGACTATAAACACAGTGGCCTTTATTGCTTGGAGAAAGTAGGTGTGGGGCAAGGTTGAGGGAGATGGGAAAAGTTCTCATGGGGTTTCAAAGCCCTTTTTTGTGGCTGTATGAGCTATGAGAGTAAAGAGGTTTCTGGTGAAGTTCGTGAACAGGCAAGGTTAACATCTGATCTGCCATGACCTTTAGTTATCTTGAGACTATGTCCTGCCTTAGTTATAGGTGATAGGAGATGCTCTTCAGGTAGTCCTAATTACATAGCTTTTGGAAAGCTGAACGTATTGTAAAGTCACTGTAATTGACTAGGAAAAAAATGCAGCAGTTTTCTAGAATATTCTTGCCATTTAACTTTGACAGAATTAGAATTTGGCTCTTATTTCTGTTTAATTCTAATTCTGGACTGTAGCTTATTCTCCGAACCAGGGGATTCTTGACCTTTTTTGTCTCGTCTGATAAATTTTAATATTACTCTGTTGCTGCTAATCGTAATTAAGGTAAATGCTAAATTTCACTTTGAGGTTAATGAAAGTAAAGATGTAATTTTTCCCTGCTTCACAGGTTCCCTACAATCTATCCACAAACTCTTACTGCTCTATGTATGTGGGAGGCGGTACGCCTAGTTAGCTGGTATACCTTACGGGGGGGGGGGTGTCATACAGTGAAAGTGTGTTGGATTTGGAGTAAGAGGGCTTGGGTTCAAATCCTTTCTCTTGATAACCTCTGGGGGCCCTTTTAGATCCAAATCTGTGATCCGCTGATCCTTTCTATTTGCATTAAAACACAAATTTTTCTCACTAAACCTTTAGAAAGTCTTCTTGTTCCAGCAAGTGACTTGAGCTAAATACTTAGATGACAAGCCCCTCCTCATTTGTTACTGAATAGCTAAGAGTTGGTGTCCGGAAGTGTTTGAGCTGTCCTGAGGCAGTCACCTCTCAGTGAAGAGGAGTGCACAAGTGTTAGCAGTGTTGGAGTTTAGGGTACATCATGCCAGCAAGGTCAAACTTAAGGAGATGATAAATGTAAGCATGATAAACTTACAGAAATCTCAGTGGTTGTTGCTTTTATTAATTAATTTTTTTTTTTGTTTAGACTGGTTGTGAGATTTTTTTTGGTGAACAAAAATTTATTTGGTTTTTTGGCTTCTTTCTTAGGTGACTTCCTTTTGTTCTCTTGAGAACTAGGCTCTTAGTATCCTCCAGAGATTAAGCTGACACGCGTTTACTCATTTCTAATCCCTAAAACTTTATTTCCTTTAAAAAAATTATTTTCTAGTTGCTGAAAGCGTGGGGCGCCCATGTGACAGCAGTTTGTTCCAGGGATGCCACTGACCTGGTAAAGAAGCTTGGAGCAGATGATGTAATTGATTACAGATCAGGAAATGTGGAAGAACAGTTGAAATCCTTGAAACTGTACGTATGGACACAATTTCACACTGGGGAGATGGGAGATGAGGCATTGGGCAGATGGCATGGGTGTCCTGTTTCTGGATGACTCGATATCCAAGTATCATTCTGGTCTGTAGTTATAGCTTTAGAGAGATGTCTCTATAAAGAAATTCCTTTTTATCATTAGAATGATAAGTAAATGCGCTAATATCTTTGAGTGATGTCCCTAGGAATAACTGTCTGTTCTTATTGATTATCTGTGATGTAAATGAAATAGCACCTTTTTGTTTATCAGAGGTTAGTATAAAGTAAATGTCTAACTTGTTTGTTGGTTGTACTGTTTTTAATACAACCTGTGATTTCTATGCAATTGCTGGTGATATTTGACTTTCCTTTTCAGTCATCCTTTCCAAAATGTAGTTTTTGAGCAGAAGGGCATAGGATTGATTCTGAATTCTGTTCTTTGACTTCCATCCCCACAGGACCTGGACACTCTAAGAGGCAGTGTCATTTACATAATACGTGGTCAACAGCATAACCCCTGTTCTTTTCCTGTGTCAAGCAGGGAAGCTCAGTAGATAGAGGGGTAGGCCTAGAATCAGGAAGACCCAAGTGCTAAATCAGCCTCAGACATTCACTAGCTGTGTGACCCGGGGAAAGTCACTGAACCATTCTGTGCCTCAGTTTCCTCAGCTGTAAAATGGACATAATATTAGCACCTGCTTTGCAGAATGGTTGTGAGGATCGAATGAGGTGATATTTATAAAGCCCTTAGCACAGTGCCAAGCGCATAATAAGTGCTTACTAAATGCAGATTTCCCTCCTTCCCTCCTCTCTAGTGTTTTGACATAATAAGGCCACAACAGAAACAAGAGGAAGATCAGTGTTTAAATGGCAACATGGAGAGTTGCCAGGGTTCTGTGCTTGCCTGCATTCAAGTCTTGTGTGTTTGCTTGATGTTTACCAAGCAAATGCCAGATGTAGAGGTAGATAGAACCCCTCCCCACTCAGCTGCAAGGCCCTGCGAGAAGCACTTTGTGTGAAGGTTGGGAGGTCAGTGGCTTCCCAAGGTGAGACTTCAGCGGAGACAGTGGATCAAGCAGTTCCGGAGTTGGTGTTACCAAGGGGTTTCAAGGGGTTTCTTTTTCTAAGTTTTGCTCTTGGGACAAAGACACCAACTGTCACTGCACTTAAAATGAGAAAATAAACACAAGAATCTTTGTGCTCTTAGTTTGAGCCAGATCATAGGTATTTGTTATTATTTTTATAGATCATGTTTCTATGATGCTGTAAGACTCCCGTTGCTTTCTTCACAGCAGTTCTTGGAGGGATGTAGTACAGTTATGATAAATAGACATATATGTAACACTTTAAGGTTTTCAAAGTGCTTTACATAACTCCTATCATTGGAGTCTCATAACAGTTCTTGTAGGTACTATTGTTACTATCAACGGTTGAATTCCTTGCCTGTGGTCACACAGCTATTAAGTATTGATGGGGGGGGTATGAAGCCTAGTCTTCCCATTCCAAGTCCAACACACTGTCCATGATCCCAGTCTGCCTTTGAGACTGAGTTGTCACTTTCCCAAGGATGCAGAGCCAATAGAAATGTGTGGTGCAGTCTCTTAATTACTACCCTAGGCTGCTTCAGCTGGTAGTGGGTAGTCAAGGTTTTGGAGAGCCAGACTGGCCAAGGATCCATGTTGCTGGTCTGAAGCATTGCCACCAGTTCTGGTGGTCCTTAGAAGTGGGAATGAATGAATGCACGAGCAAAGCATTAAGTTAAATTGCTTTTCAGCCATGTCTAGCTCTTTGTGATTCCAATTGGGGTTTCCTTGGCAAAGATATTACCATTTCCAAAAATATGCCATGTCCTTCTCCAGCTCATTTTACAGATGAGGAAATGGAGGCAAACAGGGTTAAGTCACTTGCCCAGGGCCACAGAGCTAGTAAGTGTCCAAGGCCAGATTTGAACTCAGAAAGATGAGTCTTCCTGACTCCAGGTCCAGCACTCTGCACTATGCGCCACCTAGCAGCCCTAATTAAGGGCTTACTATGTGCAGAGCACTGCGCTAAGCCCTGGGGATGCAGATAGAAAAGGAAGACAGGCCTTGCTCTCCAGGAGCTCACGTTCTAGGGGGGAAACAACAGATGGGGAAAATCTCAGTTGCCAATCAGATGGAAAGTCCCTGGGTCTTAGGGTTCAGGGGCAAAACAGATGTCACTGCATTTTCTATAATGTCATTTCAGCTGATAAAGTGTTACTAGGAATGACTGAGCCCACTGTCTTAGAGGACAGAGGGGAAGAGCCTGTGTCATCACTGCTCCCTTGAAGCCCATACTGCAGAGGCCTCTGTTACTCACATGCCTCAGCCGTATGGCAGGACACAGGAATGCCAAGCCAGTCCTCAGGGGTGTGAGTCTGAAAGCAGTCATAGACCCTGGTTGGTCGATTGGGCTCTTACCTAGTGATGAGACTGAGCTGCCTATTCTCTTGGCCACTCCTCTACTGGGAGACTTGGGAAAGCAGCTTTGGACTAAGACCAGTGTGACTGCCCCAGGCTGATAGCCCGTCTGCTTTGTATTTGATACATGACTATAGACACAAATTATTTTTCAAGAGAATGAAATAACTTCCAGATAGTATTTCCTTTTAAGAAATTAGCAAGTGAACCACTTCTTCCCCAGTCCTGGGCACTTTAGTCTAACTAAACTGCAATCCACAAGGCTTGATATTCAGTAGCCTTTGTTTGCCACCTTTTATACTGTCCCCATACAGTGACTTAAACTATTATGCAGAATCAGTAATAGGTTTCAAGAATTCCACTATCTGACTTTATCATTTGATGGAGCTAGGAAGGGGAAATGATTTGTGAAAAAAGCAATTTTTGTCTTGTTTTCTTTTTAACCAGTAAGCATGCCAATCTGCTGGTAGACATCTTTTGAAGTCTGCGGGAAAAAGAATACTGACTTGAAGTCAAAGAACAGGGGTTTTAATCCTGTTTCTACCACTTATTACTTGTGTGACTTTGCTCAAGTCATTTAACCTCCTTGGACCTCAGTTTCCTCATCTATAAAATGAAGGGAGAGGAAGATGGGCTGGCGGTTCATTCCAGCTCTAAACCTGTGTTTTATAATCCTTGTAGCTCTATGGAATGATCACGTGATCTTCCCTTTTGTACAATGAAATGGTTAGGGCCATATGTATTGGATGCACACCAGGCTCCTTGCATGGGTTTGTGCTCCTTGACATATCATGGGATCATAGATGTAAAACTGGAAGGGCCTTCAGAGATCATTTAGTTCAGCTTTATAGATAAAGAGACTGTGGCCCAGTGAGGGGGAGCGACTCTTTCCTTCCCTTGGATAGCAGATAGCAGAATTGGGCTTCAGAGTCAGATCTTTTGGGTCTAGACCCAGTATTATTTTCTAACTCAGTGATGAAGAACTGATCTATGGGCCCATATGTAAGTCTTGATTTCATTTAGAAACCTTATTCCTAGTTAGATGAAATTAGGACAGTACGGTCTGATGGAAAATGCAATAGCTTCGGAGGAGAGGACTTGGGTTCAAATCCTACACTGGATGTTACCTGAGTGACCTTAGACAGGATCCAAGGGCCTTGGGCCTCAGTTTCCTTATCTGTAGAAATGATGGTATTTTGATTAAGCTTCCAGGCTTCTTCCAGTTATAAATCTATGACCTTAAGTATCTGTAGCCTACTTCAGAACCTCTACTGTTAATATTAAAAAACAAACAAACACAGGGACAGCATGCAAAGCATTGCAAATGTCCTTGATCCAGGGATTCATTGTTAAATGATATTCTCTGAGTTCTATGATAATGGTATTTGGTGAGACTTTGGGGGATATGAAGCATCTTGGTTATTGTGGAATGGTACTTGGATTCACCAGTGATGTTTTACGTGAAGCCAGACAAGTACCCAATGTAAGGAAATTTAGGAAGTCAAATTTTATAAGCAAATCCTAAGAGGGAAGACAATGGTTAGATGAAAATCTTTTTTGTGTATATTAGAAAGTGACTTGAGTTTCACGTGGGTGAATGGCAGGACCCCTGGTTATTTCCTTCAAAACTAAAACAGTTCTTAAATGTATTAGAAATGAAATAACACAATGGGTCACATTTGACCTATTCTTGAATTCTCTACACTTGGGGAAAAAGGTGAGAAGTCCCAGCACTTAAATAAGTCTGTGTCACTTAAAGTGAACACACAATAGAGATTGGATATCAGAGCTACATTCAGCAAATTTATTTGTTAGTTGTCACTGAAGTATATGTGGCAAAACCCATCACATGGTTTTCTACTCTTTGGTTATAGAAATGTTTCTGTACGCTCAGCTGCTTCTTCCCCACCATTCAGAATAAAGGTTTACCAGACTTTCTTGGTTTTCTCCTTTCCAGGTTTGACTTTGTCCTAGATAATGTTGGTGGAGGCACTGAAGATTGGGCTCCAAAGTATCTCAAGAAATGGTCAGGAGCCACATATGTGACACTGGTCACTCCTTTTCTGCTCAATATAGACCGGCTCGGAATAGCAGATGGCATGGTACAAACAGGATTTACCATGGGCTCTAAGGCACTGAAGGTAGGAGGAAAATGCTTTGCAGACTGTAGAAGCATCTGATGCTGAGTTTGTAACTTCCCAAAGCTCAGCCAACTTCTTTATGTCTTTGCCCCACCTAGGTTACAAGCTCCTCTTTTCTCCTTTGCCTTTACCATAAAATCTTCTGCCCTCTTCCCTATGCAAAACACATACTATCCCTTTAGCATGAGTGTGATGGGACTGGCCCACTGTCTGGAGGGCCAGTCTATACTTTGCCTTGTTTTCTGTCCTGGGCATATGTGCTGATGCATCCACATTCTCTTGACTCAGCCCCCTGCCAACAGCAAAACCTATTCTGAGATGGCAGGAAGAAACAAAAATGCCTCTTCTCTCTGGAAGCTTACTGATTCCCAAGAGACTTGAACTCATGACTCTAGTCTTGTCAGCAGAATGCTTAAACCAACCAAGCCAACTAGTGATAAGGAACTTTGACACAGAAGAAATAGAGAAAGACAAAAAAGAAGAGACTTCTTCCACTCACATGAAGCACACATAGGTACTGGTGACTGAAAAACCTGAGAGATTCTTTATTTTCCCCCAATTCACTTACCTGCCCACGAACAGTACGTACCATGTTGTCCTACCTGGAAGGTAGGTGTGTATGTGGAAGAGGGATCTTACTTTTCCTTTGTCTCTTCTCTCTCCATACTTTCACAAAGCTCAGAAGTCCTTAAAGGTGCTTAAATCAGAATGTAAATTTTCTGTACTGTTTCAATGTTGATCGCCCAGCCTGGCCTCTTGCCATACCCACCTTCAGAGCATTCTGCTGAGAGCCAGACAAATACTGGGGTTTTTTTACTTGTTTTTTTCCTCTCCCTTATTTGAAAGCCAATAGCAGTAATCTCTCACTGGGGAAATGCTTTTAAGTAGTTTATGATCTCATGTTGAAAATACATACAGTTAAAACTTCATTGTAATGCCCCAGGATTCCCCTGACTCCACCAGTTTGCTTACTCTCTCTCTCTCTTTCCCCTATAAATATAGAAGGAGAAAAGGGAAGAGTCCTTGCAAGCTGTTTGAAAATGTATTAAAGAAGTTCTTTTATTTTTTAGATCAGAGTTTCACTTTGCCAGGGTAATGTGCATTAAGGAACTACCAAAACACATGGCAGAGTGATGAAATACCTCTTCTCCCAGTTGATTTCCAACGGAGTTTTGAGAAAAATCAAACTTCCCTTTCTAAGGGCAGTCTTAGAGGTATATTTGATGGGATTGGGATCTGGGCCCCAGAGAGGAAAAACTCTGGATTTTCCCACATGGCCAAATCTCTGGCATTTGCCTGAGGCTATAATCCCATCAACTGGCCTTTCCTTGTGGCTATACCCAATCTCCCCTCCATTGTTTTACCTCCCTATGGCCCCTGGCCGTTTCCCACACTTCTCCCCAGCTTGCTGCCACTCCCATCCAGATCTCCTTAGGCCTCTCCTCCAGTCACCCCAAACTACTTGGCCACTCCTAGATCCCTCATACAGGCTTTCTGTATATGAGGTCCATCTTGTCTCCATTAAGATACTCTGATTCTTATAATCTAGCCACTGCTCTGATTTCTTAAAATTTAGCCACTGCTGGGATTCTTATAATCTAGCCAATAGTTACTAATGTTCAGACTCCTTAAGAGTCTGCCCAATATGACGGATGTTCTAATAAACCTGGTCTTTGGCTGAAAGAAGGCTTAGGTCGAATTCTGGACCCGCGTATCATGATATTGGGGTCCCTGGACCCCTGAACCATATCATATTTGCTCATAGAATTTCAGATGTGGAAGGGAATTTAGAACTTGTGTCTGGACAGAAACTCCTTTTATAATAATCCAGCAAATGTCACTTAACCTCTGTTCAAGTACTTCTAGTGATACGGAACCCACTTTCTCTTTGGGGAGAATTTTTTTTTCCAGTCAGTGGCAAAGTTTATTGTAATGTCAGTAGAAAGAAGCTGGCAGGGTTCCTAGTGAACCTTCAATTTAATGAGGGTGAGACTGATGCTTATATACAAAAATGACAATGAAAGGCTCTGGATGGGATTAAGGAGTGGTAAATAATCTAGAGTGGGTCATTTGCTAAGGTGAAAGGACATCAAATAGGCTAATTAGGTGATCTAGATAGGATTAAGGAGTGGTGAGTATATGCAAGTAGTCTCAGGTGGGGCAAGAACAACAGTGAAAGGAATGTCAAATAAGATAATTAGGTGATCTAGCTGGGCTGGTTGGGCCAATTGCCTTGGGTGAAGGTGCCAGTGATCAAGGCTGCTGGAAAATTCAGGGACTGGGTGGGTTGCTTTCAAAGACATGGTTTTTTCCTTTTAGGGGTCCAGGTCTCATTACTCTGTCAAACAAATGGGACCCAAAATCTTTGGGGGAAAGAGGCAAAGGTCTCAGCTTCTGAAACTGCTTGTTGCTGACAAGGAGCTTAGAGCTCTCCCTGCCTCGAGGGGGTCCCAAACTGACCACAGGTTGTATCCAGGGAACAATGGGGGGACATGGGCTGTTTGCTACCAACTGTAGGTGAATGGCCTGTAGTCTGGAAGATGAGAATTTTTTTTCCTTGAGGCTTAATCTGCTTTCTGCAACTTTTATACACTATTCCTATTTCTACCCTTCAGGAAGAAACAATAACTATGTATAACTATATATATATAAAATATATATATATAACTATATATATATGTATATATAAAAAACAGCTCTTTGGATACTTGAAGATGCTTATTGCTACACCACCTCCCCAAAGTCATCTTTTTTTTCAGGTTAAATATTCCCAATTCCATTACCTGTTTCTCAGTCTTCCATTTTTCTCACCTTCTTGGTTGTATTCATCTGCATATAGTCCATCTTGTCGTTGTCCTTCCCAAAATGTGTTCAGAACTGAATGTTATGAATGAATTAATAAATGAACAAATGTAAAAATGAAAAAAAAATTTAGCCTGCACTTTCTGTATATAAGTTTCTGTGTATAACTTACACATAGAAGTTACACAGTGTGTGTTACACACTGTGTAACACACATTGTGCTAAGCCCAGGACATAAATACAAGCAATCGGGGCAGTCCTTGCCCTCAGAGAGCTTACAGTCTAATAGGAACATGAAACATATATGGCACTGGTGATCAGTAAGTGTTGATTTGGAGAGAGAAGTCAGAGAGCATGGTGATTAGAGTAATAAGGCATTTCATTGAGATGCCCTTGCCAGGATTGGTAGTACTGGTTTCATGAGTGTTCTCAGAACTCTAGTTGGAAAGCAGGGCAAAAAAAAAAAAAGAGTACATACATGTAACATGGCATGGAGATGTCTGGAAAGTGGTGTGGTGGCCTGAGACTGGGCATCTGAAATGCTTACCAATCGGAAGATAACTTCAGTTCTTTATAGGTCTGGATGGATGTTGGAGGAGGCATAGCATGGTCACTGGGAAGTGTGTATTCCAGATAGAGTCTGACAAGGGCAGAGTACAACAGAATCAACATCTGCCTTATTTTGAACACAGAATCAAAATGGTAGCTAATAGGATGTCAGATTGTTGACTCATTGAGCTTGTAGTGCACTAATGCCCCATGTCTTTTCCACATGAATTATTGTTTAACTGTGTCCCCTCAATCTGGTACTATTGAAATGAATTTTTTGAACTCAGGTATAGGATTTCACATTTATCCCTGTTAAATTTCATCTTATTTTGATTTGGCCAGTCATTCTAGCCAGCTTGTATCTTTTCAGATCCTTGATTCTGTCATTCACTGTATGAGCTGACCTTCCTAGCTTAGGTCATTTGTAAATTTAATAAGCTTGCTATTTGTACCTTTGTCTAAGTCATTGATAAAAGTGTTGACTGAAATGAGAATGAGGACAGATCTTTAGGTCACTCCACTAGAGGCTGTCTTCCAAGTTGACAGCTGCCCATTAATAACTGTTCAGCCAATTCTGAATGTACTTAACTGTACTTTCATGGAGCCTACATTTCACCATCTTAGCTGTAGCAATAGCATGAGAGATGTTGTCACATGTTTGAAATCCAGACCTACCATCTCTGTGGTATTCCTCTTATCAAATGACCTTTTCAGAAAAAGAAATAAGATTTGTCTGGCATGACCTATCCTTGATGAAGCCATGCTGGCTCTTAGTGACCAGTCACTGCTTCCTTTTCTAAATGCCCATGAGTCATTCCTTAAATAAAAAGTTTTAGAATTTTGCCAGGAATCTAAATCAGACTCAGTGGCTCATAGATTGGAGACTCCTCCCTTATCCATTGCTTTTTTACTTTTTTTTTATGTTTTTTTTCCCCAATTTCATTTAAGACAATTTTTAACATTCATTTTTTAAAATTTTGAGTTCCAAATTCTCTCCCTTTCTTCTCCCTTCCCCCCTCTCTGGGACAGTAAGGAATTTGATACAGGTTATACATGTGCAAACCGTGTCCATTTCTTGAAAATCAGGACAGCATTTGCTCCAGTCCTGTAACGCCTCTTCTGTTTGCCATCATGTTTTAGAAATTATTGCGGAGCTCAGCTATCACACACACCAGGGCATTTGGTTATAATCTGTCCAGCTCTGATGATAAGTGGAGCTCACTGAAGGTACCCAAGTACTCTCTTAACCATTTCCTCCTTTGCTTTGGATTTAGCTCCTTCATCATTTTTATTCTCTCCTTCCAGTCTGAAAAGTCATGCTCCTTGATAGAGAAATGGAAGCTAAGTAAGACTTAAGGAATTTTCCCATCTCTCCGTCTTGTTGTCATTTTCTTATTCACTTCAGATAGTTTGATCTTTCTCTCATGCCCCACGTAGCTTAAGGAGAAAAAAAAGTAGCCTTTTGGTTGTCTTTAGCATTCAGAGCTGGTACAGGACTGTGCCATTAGTTTACATCACTGTAAGAACTGCTCGGCAGTGGGTTCCTGCTGTAACTACATCTGTTTCCTCAAAGGCCTCCCCTTTTTCCCTCCTCAGAAATAGTTTGTAAGTGGGTCACTAGAATTTTATTCTTCCTGTCCACCTTGGGCTGTCTCTTATAGTTTTAGGCCACGAGGTCTTACTTTTTTTCCTCTGAATTCTTTGAAATTTACTGCCCCCATACCCAGAATGTATGTTATTAATAACATTTATATTAACAGTAACTTTCACTTGTTTCTTCATCATGGATTCTAAGAGCAGGTAGTTACTTTCTCCCAGTAGTCCCATCATTTTTCATTTTATCAACCAGTGAAATCAGGTCTTGTTCCAAAACCAGCAGATCCCTTGAACAGTTCCTCCGTATTTGATAAAGTTAAATTGTCATTGAATTAACAAAGAATTTGTCAGCTGCTGTGCTTTTGGCAAAGAGAGATATAATATGTATCCCAAAATATTGAAATCCTCCATTATTTCAACATCCTTTTTTCTGGGTTGGGTTTGTAATTTGTTTCCTAAATTCCTCATTTAATTCCTACTTTTTCCAGGTGACTTGTAATTGAGAACTTCTGCTGTATTGCCTTCGTCTGTCATTGTTATTCCATCAATCCAAGCAAAAAGCAAAAACATTTCTTTTTTCTCCTACCATACATCCTCAGCCGTGTTCTAGTCAACATGCTCCCCTCTCTAGATCCTGAATTCCATATGTAAATATAACTTCTTAATCAACAGTACCATTCCCTTTATCTGTTCAGTTCCTTTTGAATAAAATATATACTATTTCATAGTCATATTTTGGTCATTCTAAATCTCAGTGACACCTGTTGAGTCGATTTTGTCTCCTTGTATTGAGATCACAAGTTAACCTTGTTTATTGTCATAATTTTGTAAACGTACAGTGTGTGAGAAAAAGGGCCTTGTGACACAATGGGAAGAAAATTGGGTTGGAACTAGGAAGGTTAGGTTTAAGTCTCACTTCTGACACCTGCTGGCTATATAACCAAGTCATTTGACTCTTGAGTCTGAGATTTTTTTTCCCCACACCTTTGGTATTATCTTCCTTTCCTTCAGATAACCTCAATATGTACCTGGTCCAGTCTGTTGCCTTTTACATCTTTGTTCTCTTTAGTACCAATTCTATTTCCTCAATAAACATGTCTGAGGCTGACATTAGGGTCTAAGTATGGTGGTTCTACCACCCTTCATGGAAAATAGGGTTTGTTAAAATAGTTTTCACAAAGCTTTTCCATTTTTGTGTTTGTAGTTCTTCTCATTTTTGTCTTTTGCTGTCCTTGGAGATGATTTTGTTTAGTTGGGTAGCTTGTATAGCTTTCTTTAAACTGGCTCTCTCTGTTGCTTCACTCTGCTCTTTGAGATAATAACTGCTCATAAATTGTCCATCATCCTTTTTCATAAGGTTTTATAAATTGATATTCTGACCTGGTGTTGACTTTGGCAATCAATTCTGTCAAGTAAGTCAGTTGTTTGCTGACAAAGATGCTTTCTGGGCTCTTTGGAACTCCTTGTTGGGGCAGTTAATTCACATTGCTTAAATTATTGGGTGAAATTATTATAGTTGATGTTTATGTCATTTATGATATGTTTTCATTTTAAAACTTACAATATTTCGTTAAAATACTTCAGGATTATGTCATTTCTAATGTTCAATTTGAACATTTTAAGCAATTTAAACAAAAATTGAGAAGTTGATTGTATGCAATTGTGCTTTGTACGTAGTAGGCAATAAATGATTGTTGATTTGAGGAAAGCCTTTATGGCTATTTAGGTATAATACTTTCCTCCCATACACATTTTTTAGCCTGTTATCGATTTAAGGTCTCTGCCCTGGAAACACTCACCTCTGACACTATTAGTTCTTATCAACTTGAGTTAAGGTTTTTGTGATGAAAACTCCTGCCTCATAAGAATGGTAATGAGACTTGACTTTCCTTGCCATTCTTATCTTGGAAATACTTTTTTTTTTAATGTAGATTCAGGGCTAAATTCAAACCAGTGACCTAGAAATCCTCACTAATAATAATACACAAAAACCTGTGCATAGAATTGATCAATCAAAAGTGTTTACTAAGTGCCAGGCACTGGGGGTGAAAGGACAGAAAATGAACTAGATCCTGCCCTAAAGACACTTCCAGTCCATCAGGGAAACAACACGTACACATATAAGTATAGACAAAGTAAAGACAAGGTAATTTGAGTGGGGTGGCCCCTGCAGGGAATCAGGAATGGTGTCATATGTAGCAAGTGGCATTTGAACTGAGTTTTGAAGTCAACTGGGGGTTCTGAGAGATAAAGTGGGGGTTGGGAGGGGAACTAGGAAGGGTGACAAAGGCACAGAGATAGGAGGTAGAATGTTGTGTGAAGAAGACAAAGGCTAGGTAGATGCTTGTTGACTGAGTGATAGTTTTTCTGAACCACAGAGTGTGTGGAGGAAGGTGATGTATTTTTAATAAGTCCGGAAAGCTAGGTTGGAGCCAAGTTATAAAGGACTTTAAATGCCAAACAGGAGAGTTTATATTTGGTCTCGAGGTATTTGGCAGCCACTAGAGTTTATTACCAGGAGAGTGACAGGATTAGCCCTATAATTTAGTAATATTCCTTTCGCAAGTCTCAGAAGGATGGTTTGGAGAGAGGAGAGACCAGATTCAGGGAGACCAGTTAGGAGGCTTATAAAGTAATCCAGGTGAGGGGCAGTAAGGGCCAGAAGTAAGATGATGGCCAAGTGAGTGAAGAGGAAGTGATGAACATGAGAGATCTGAAGATATAATTGATAAGATTTGACAGATGGTTAAATAGGTAGTTAGGTGGTACAGTGGATAGAGTACTGGGCCTGGAGAGTCAGGAAGACCTGAGTTTAAATCCAGCCTCAAAATACTAATATCTGAATGACTTTGGGCAAGTTACTTAGCCTTTATTGGCATCAGTTTCCTCAGCTGTAAAATGGGGATAATAATAGCATCTCCCTCCCAGGGTTGTTTTGAGGATCAAATGTGATAATATTTGTAAAGTGCTTAGCACAGTGCTTGGTAAATGGTAGGTGCCATGTAAATGCTAGCTGTGAAGATAATGATGTTGGTGATGTGAGCTTAGTGAAAGTGAGGAGTCAAGGAAGACTGTGAGGTTGCATACCTGGAAGACTAGAAGAATGATAGTACCCTCCACAGAAACAGGGAAGTTGGAAAGATAACGAATTCTGTTTTGGACATGTTCGTTTTGAAACGCCTGCAGGATATCCTTGGAGAAATGACCATTTCCCAGGTGAACAGTGGGCAGTGATGGAGACTGGAACTCAGGAGAGAGACTGGGGCTGGATATGTAGCTCTGAGACTCATCTCTATGAAGAGATTTAAACAAATGGGAGCTAATGAATTCATCGAGAGAGAGTATGTAGAGAAGGGAAAGAAGAGAGCTCAAAGCAGATCCTTGGGCTGTACCCACAATTGGGTGAGATATATCTATATCTATATCTATATCTATATATAGATATAGATATATATATATGATGATCTAGCAAAGGAGCCTGGGAAGGAGTAGTAGAAGTAGGAAGGAATGACTTACAAATCTCCTGTTACACATTAGGCACTGTGCTAAGTGCTTTACAAGTATTATCTCATTTGAGCCATTCACAACAACCCTGGGAGATAGGTGCTATTATTATCCCCATTTTACAGGTAAGAAAACTGAGGCACCGAGAGGTTAAGTGACTTGCCCAGAGTCACACAGCTGTTAAGTGTCTGAGGCTATATTTGAACTCAGGTCTTCCTGAAATTAGGCCCAGAAGAGGTAAAAGGAGAACCAAGGGAGAGCACTGTCACAAGAGAGAATATCCAGGTTGAAATGTTCAATAGTGTCAAAGCTACAGTGGTCAAGAAGCGTGAAAACTGAGAAAAGTTCATGAAATTTTTTCCATTAAGAGATTATTGGTAACTGCTGGTAGTGTATGTCGTTATAGGAATAAACTTCATCCATTCACTTACTCTTTTTCTTGAACTGAAGATGTAGTTAAGGATCCTGCGTGATTAAATACCAGTGTGAATGGGTTGTTGGTTTTGTATACTCAAGGCTTGCTTCATTAGCACTTAGCAACTATTTTTTCCCATATTTTCTCCTCAAAATGCATTTTCAGTCATTCTATCATCTTTTCCTGTACTTGACATTCTTTGCTTTGTTTTTCTTAGCATTTTTGTCAAGGAGTCCATTATCGATGGGGCTTTTTCGTGCCCAGTGGTGTGTATTTGGATGATATTGCAGAACTGGTGGAAGCAGGAAAGGTATGTGAACCATCCTCCCCTATCAATGTTGCTCATGTACCTCTTCTTGCTATAACTAATCGCTTATGTTGGAAATATGAAAACTTCCCAGGTCCTCATAGTTATAGAGCTATAGCTTGTGTAATTAACTTCCAGCCTTCCCTAACTACCACTTTCCCCCATTCCTCCCCCCCCAAAAAAAAAGCATTTAAATTTAGGAGTCTTTAGTGTCTCCAGGGCCAAAATCAAATCAGAATCTGAGTTGAAATGGACCTTGGAGATTATCTAATTCAACTCCATTTTATCAATGAGGAAACTGAGGACTAGAGAGGTGAAATGGTCAGACGGTTCATTAGTGGCAAAGCCCAGAGAAGAACTCAGATATCCCAATTCCCTGAATAGTATTCTAGCATTCTTTTCATTTCACACTTCTTGATCTCTGCAGCTTTGACACTGTTGAACACTTTCAACCTGGATATTCTCTCCTGTGTTTTTGTGATAGTACTCTCCTGTGGTTCTCCTTTTACCTGTTTTGGGCCTAATTTCAGGAAGACCTGAGTTCAATATAGCCTCAGACACTTAATAGCTGTGTGACCTTGGGCAAATCATTCCATTAAGTGGAATATAATTTTAAATATAGTGGTTTGTCTGGGAGGAAGATGGAAATCAGGAGACTAAGGGAGTTGATATGTTTCTCCTAGAGAGGGAATTTGGGTGTAGTAAAATGGCATATAGGTTTATCTCTCTGTAGGAAAGGGAAAAGGCTGAGAGTCCTGAGGTGGGGTCTTCAGAGAAGTTCTTCCTGATTTCTCCAGATAGTGAGAGTAGTTACCTAAAGCAGTTGGCCGGAATTGGGGGTGTGGTGAGTAAAATTCAGCAAAGGTGGACTGAGGCTCATTAATATTTTATTAACAGGGCATGAATCTTCCAATAAGAAATGGGCCAATGACTGCTTCAATTTTAAGCCAAAGACCCCAAGATGAAGACTTAACTAATTTTTAAAGTTTAGAACAAAGAACACAACAGGCTAGATGACATTATGAGGTTGAGGACAACATGATTGGTTACATAGCTGAAGCATGGCGGGGACAATATGATAGGTTAGAATCTGGGAATGGGAGCTAGCCACAGCCTCCCTCCTTCCTTCCTGTATTAAGAAGTATTCATTGTTTGAGTCTACCTGCAAGGTTAAAAGATAGTGGACTAGACTTCTTTGGATAGCAAACTAGACATCCTCGAAAGACAGTTTGGTGGTGTAAAGATGTTAGACTAGACTCCCTAATGTCCACCTGCATCCCCCAAGGGTAGCAAAATTCCTTGAGGCAAGACTAGAACAGTGATTAGCAAGAGAACTGGATATCTAAACTTAACTCATTACAGACAAGCTGAATTTCTGAACTCAATTCAGAGACAAAGAATCATGACTTAGGCAAAATTAATTAATTGTAAATAGTATCAATAAAAAATTATGCAGAATTAATTTAGTCTTCTCAGGGGAAAGATCAGTCTGGGACCTGTACTAAAGCATTCTTCCAATTGCAGGTTTTCATTTTGAAGATCCTTTCTTACTGCCTCAGGATTAAAAGCAATGTGTTCTCTTAGTATGTCTTGCCTACTTGACTATTTTCCCTGGAAGAGATGGTGGCCCTGGCAGTACAGGCCCATGGAATAGCTGGTGAAGCTACATGACCTTGATTGATCTCTCTTTACCTTATGAATTATTATCAGATTTAGTTGAAAGACTCCTTGAGAATGAAATTCTTTTTTTTTTTCTGAAGTAATTGGTTTTTTTTTAAGGCAGTTGGGGTTAAGTAACTTGTCCAGAGTCACACAGCTAGTAGGTGTCAAGTGTTTGGTCTGAGGCCGGGTTTGGACTCAGGTCCTCCTGACTTCAGGGCCGGTGCTCTATCCACTGCGTCACCTTGCTGCCCTGAGAGTGAAATTCTCCTTTTTGAAGTGAAGACAACTGAAATGGCCTTTTGATTAACACTGAAATATCTCTCGTATTTATCTTCTCTTCTCTATAACTACCACTCCCCTATTACAGGTGCTCATTACCATGTTCCTAGACTGTTGCTCTAGCCTCCTAATATGCCTTCTGCCTACATTTTCTCTCCACTCTGCCACTACTAGAGTTATCTAACTTATGAATAGATCTGTTCATGTCACCTCTCCAGAAAATCTCCAGTGGCCTTGTTGCCTGCTTGGCTAAGTTTAGGCTCCTTTCCCTGGCATTCCAGTATCTTTACAACCTGGAACCATTCTAGCTTCTCAACTTTGTCTCATATTGTTTTCTACTGTATACTCTAAGCTCTAACAAATAGGATTACTCTTTGTCCCAAGGATGTGACCTGTTCTTTCCTGCCTCTGTTCCTTGGACTGCATTGTTCTATATGTCTGGAATGTCATCTCTTCCTCTCTAGGCCTTTATAGCCCAACTCGGAAGGGTCATGTTCTCTAGGAAGTTTTTTCCTGATTTCTCCACTTTTTAATAATAACCTTCTCTTCTCTCTCTCCTCTCCCCCCCCCCACTGCCGAACTTCACCCAGCACTTTGTTTTACGCTTTTCATTGCATTTATGAATTATCTTGCATGATAATTATCTGGGTATGTGTACTATTCCTCTACTAGACTTTAAATTCAGTAAGAGCATTAATCATGTTTTATCTAATTTTCATATCTCCCCAGCATCCAGCACAGTGCTCTTCACACAGTAAATAAGCATTCTGGTTTAACTAAATGTTATCAGGTAGTGGTAGTGGTGTCAATGATAGGAAAAACTTTTGAGATTCAAGTTCAGCAATAGAGAATTAATGTTTTCTTCTTGATTACTTGGAAATCTAGAACCCATTGATAGCTTGGATTGTGACATTTTTACCAAAATACTTCCTGTGATACTTGAGCAATAATAGCAGCTGCCAACTACAAAGCATTTTCTCACTCTTATCTTGGATGTCTACAAAATGACTAAAGCTTCCTCCTTTGTAGGGTAGACACCAGAATATGAATAGACATCTTCACAGACCTTTCTTTCATTCATTATAGCTTAGCCTGAACATCACTTGTTAGGGTGGCCAAAAGCTATTGTTCTAGATAAATTTTAATGCTGTTGTTTTGCTTTTATATCATGTACATTTCCCAACGTATCCATCCTCTTTCCTCATCCCAGAGAGCCTTATAACAAAGAATAAAAAATAAGGGGTAAAAAAAATAGTTTAGCAAAGCTAACCAACACATTGCAAAAGTGTGTTATATAGGCCACTCCCCAGTTCCTAAACTCTACAAAGAAGCAGGGCAAACGCACTTTCTCATATCTCTTTGATGCCAGGCTTGGTCATTTTATCATCACATTATTACATTTCAGTTGCTTTGTTGTGGTTATTCCATTTACACTGTAGCCATTGTGTCTGATTTTTTCTTGCTTTTGATTACTTTATCTTGAATCAGTTCAGAGAAGTCTTCATAATCTTCTCTGCATTCTTCATATCCTTTCTTGCAGCAAAATAATGTTTCATTACGTTTATGTACCAAAACTTGTTTAGCCATTCCCCAATGGGTAACTACTTTGTTTCCTATTCTTTGCTACTACCAAAAAAAAAAACCAAAACCCAAAATCCTGCTTCTACAAATATTTTGGTGTAAAAGTATTGACCTTGGGATAGATTGCCTAGAAGTAGACCAAAAGCCATTTTTGTGGTTGCTCTGAGTTTCAGAAAATCATTGTTATTTGTTCCTTAGCCCTCTTATATGGTTTTGAGGCATCAACCAGAAATACTAATCTGAACTACATTTAATTGGGTCAGATATATAAATAAATGCCTAGGTATGACAACTCTATATAAACAACAAAGAACCACTATGGATTTTAAGATCTGGTGACATACTATATCTGGAGGGTTAACTTTAAAATATTTTCTCTGGACTTTTCCTTTGATTAGATAGTTTACCTCTTCATATGAATTATTGGCAGTGGGAAAGAGACCCAGTATGGAAAATCCAAAGCCACTTTAAAGATTTCTATGGGATAGGCTCTCAGGGACACTCATTCCTTGCGTTGATGGGTACCACATTTCATACTTTTGTTTAGGCTTTGGAAAGAGGTAGCTTTAGGAAACCACAGCTAAAACCTATGCATTTAACATTACTTCATTCAAGCTGAGTGAAAGATGGTTTATTCCTGTTTCCAAACCGTTTGGCTTGCTTTCCAAGTCTGAATGCCTTTTCCAAAATATTTGCCAAGTCTGTATGTGCAGGATGGAAACATGTATATGGATTCGATCTCATGACTATGAGGATTCTGTCCCAGGATTAAACATTACTCTGCTTCTGTTGCACTCTACTTAGTCTCCCAGAGGAACCATATTCTTACTTTGGTTGGAGTGTAGTTATTATGGAACTCCATTCCTGCCCTGTTACCTCCACTCCCATTGCTTACATCATTAGAATTAAATGAGGAAGTTGAATTTGATTAATATTTTAAGATCCCTTCAAGTTCTAAAATTCTGTGACTTTATATAGCCAGAGTACTGTGTTCCCCAACTCATTTCAGGTTTGTCTTGATTCTTGCCAGGTATTCAGATCATAATATGCTTACATGTCTACTCCTTTGTACTCAAAACGTAATTGGCTTTTCTCTATCTCAAGCCATTGTTTGTACAACAAAGAAGAAAATTGACTTCTCTGTGTTTACCTATCAAGTTTGGCAGGAGATTGATAGAATCGCTGAAAGGAGACATGATGGAAGGAAAGACTGTTCTAATGTATCCTCTTTTAGAGGAGAGCTACAGGAAGTAGACATGTTTGATCCTCTATTCTCCATTTTTAAAAAAGGGTATTCTCACAAGGTTGTTTTGGCTTTTGACTTACCTACCTACTGCTTTAGCAGCATCTCATTTGTGTCTATGCAAGGCTATAAAAGTTGATATGAGAAACGAGATGCCATGTCGAGGTGTCCTTCAATAGCTGGTTATGCCATTCTTTCTCATCTGGTAAGGGCATTTAGTCTGTGATAAGAGGTTATT